TTTCCCCCACAGTCCAAACACACACACACACACACACAAAGCCAACCATAAAACTCACACACCCACACACACACCTGACACATAGCAGAGGACTAGCAGTGTGCAGAATATGTTTGCGGCTGTTCATTTTTTTAATCGTCTGATGCCTTTTGTGTGGGTTGACAGCTTGAGACGAGTGACTAATAAGTCCGGGCCTGGTGCTGTCCTGCTGGGTTGAGCAGTCTCTTTATACACACACACTCACACACACACATCTATATACAAAAAGAGAGCCTGGGCCCTGAGCTTGGCTTCATATCCCATGCACACACACACACACAGCCTCTCACACAATACACACACACGCACACACACACACAGGCCCCTAATCATCCTGGTGTCTAGCACTCCGCTGGCGATCACCACTCTGCCACACTGCCATCATGGGCCAATTAAGTGGCCATATATCTGTCTAACAGTCTCCTCTGGCTGAATGGACAGTGGTGGAGTTGCAGTAGTAAGCCGCTACATGAGCCCACCCGCGGCTAGCAGTCAATTTGTAGCTTAAAGCCAAGTTGCCACAACACTCCAGCATTATTAGGACTAGTGGCACTATTGAGGATTCTTCTGTGGTGTGTGTGTGTATGTGTGTGTTTGCTTGAACATGTGTGTCTGTTTTTATTTGTTTGTGGTCTGTGTGTACGTGAGAGTGTCTTTAAAGTCATACATGTCGAAGAATTAGCACAACAAATGTCCATTAAGGAGGGATTTTTACCTTTCATGGGATTTTAAGGTCTGCATGTGCAAGGTATATAACGTGTGTGTCTTTGTGTGTCAGCGCCTTCTTGTCCTTGTTATTCGCATGTGCGCACATGCACAAGAACCAAACCTCATAAGTCATAAAACAAACATCCACCGGGCTCCTTTTGGGAGTGACCCAGTTGTTAAATTGGGCTGCCCTGCTGTCACCTCGCAGTGGGGAAACAGCCACACTTTGGCCACAGCTCCGTACAGTCTGTCGAACTCTGTCGCAAAACTCTGAGCGACCGCAGCTGGCACCGTGTCGGAGGACCCGATGGAAGATCAGTGGTGTGCAAAAAATGGCTAATGGTGCGTTCATGTGCGAGTCGGATGTACTTTTCTAGCGGAAAACTACTTGTAGGTCAATGTCCTTTTTGTTAAGAAACATAAATAGTTTTAGAGGTCTGATAGAAAGTTTGACAGGCTTTAAAGCAAGTAAAGCAAAAGAAAAAGCTAATTGTGTAGATTTATCTCTTTTGCACTGTCATGTTGTTTATAGCAGTTAGCTTACACCTCAGTCAGCAATATGTTGGATATACAGTAATAAGACAAATTCACCTAGATAACTACTTTTGACTTAGATAGAGATGAGACGTATTCATGACCAAAGAATAACATCTTAGTAACCGACTGGATGTGAAAAACATGTTTCATTCAGAAATTTCACACACTGGACACCAACCCTTACAAAACACATGATTGAAAAAATTAGCGTGTGTGAATGTTGACTTGCGTATGGTGTGATGTCCTTTCTCTTTAAAACTAGAAACAATGGTAAAATGCTCCTTGGAGACTTTTTTATATTCATTTTTACATTTCATTACGTCAATTCAGGACTAAAAGAAACCACTTGGCTGCATTTTAGCAGCATAAAGTTTGGCGCCGCTTAAGGGTGTTATTTTTTACACAGTAATGTAGCCACAAAACAACCTACACTACATTGCCTAATGTTAAAAATACACAATATGGCCAAAAGTATTTGCTCACCCATCCATATTATCGGAATCAGGTGTTTCAATCACTTCCATGGCCACAGGTGTATAAAATTAAGCACCTAGGCATGCAGACTGTTTTTACAATCATTTGTGAAAGAATGGGTCGCTCTCAGGAGCTCAGTGAATTCCAGCGTGGAACTGTGATAGGATGCCACCTGTGCAACAAATCCAGTCGTGAAATTTCCTTGCTCCTAAATATTCCACAGTCAACTGTCAGCTGTATTATGAGAAAATTGATGAGTTTTGGAACGACAGCAACTCAGCTACGCTTCTAAAAGAATGGTCAAAAATCCCCATAAACACACACCTAAAGCTTGTGGACAGCCTTCCCAGAAGAGTTTAAGCTGTTCTAGCTGCAAAGGGTGGACCAATGTCATATTGAACCATATGGATTAGGAATGGGATGTCACTTAAGCTCATATGTGAGTCAAGGCAGTTGAGTGAATACTTTTGTCAATACGGTGTAATACTGTAAGAATTTGTAGTTTGAGCATTTATATTAAGTCTTTGTAGATGGAGCAGCTCCAGGTTTCAGTCGAGATGAAAATCTGGTTTTTAATGGTCTATCACTTGTCTTAGCAAGACAGCATAACATGCTGTCAAATTATGTCCAACGAGCTGTTGTGAGAAGCTGTTAAACATGTTTGGAGATGGTGGCACCATCAGTGACTTTTTTAAACTTTGCTTGTATAGACATACAACAAAATAACACTCTGTATTTGTACAAGCAAGGATCAACACAACATTTCTCCTTTAAAATGTAACTACTGAAGAAATTAAATGATTGTATGTTTATGTAGATTTATGTATGGAAACAGGGTAAAATCTACTGCCCAGGGGAAATAAACACGAAGCATTGGATTTTAATTATGCAAAAAGCTTGATTTAGTCATATTTTCATTAATGTTTCCTTGGACTGATTTTTTTTAGTGAATGAGGTATCTGAAATGTTTTTTTTAACAACTGGGATAAGAAAAAAGTCCAAATTTATAAAACTGTCACTACATATAAAGATTAGAGGTCACAGAAAGGAAAAAAATGTTAGACTTAAGAGTCCTTAAGAAAGAGCGAATGGTATTGAGAGTAAAATGAGGATATACTGAGGAACACCTCAGCAATGCTTAAAACAGAGGAAGAGAAACACAAAAGAAAGATGGCTTTGAAACAGCTAAAACAGGAGAAGGAAAAAGAAATGAGGTAAAGCCCGGAGTGCTCTAGAAGTGATTATTCTAATTTAGCAGCTGATATAAATCTAAATGAAGTCACGTCAGGAGTCGGCGGACAGACACAACACTGCCACCCTGGGACTCCCCATCTGATTCTCCTTCCCTCTCTTCTTTCAATCAAACCCTCTCTATCTCCATCTCAGAAACCCTGTTTGAGTCTTCTGAGTGGGTAACCTCAGCAACACCACACGCAGCAGGGACCAACAGAGGTATTACTGTGTTTAGTATTGCTTTTTGGGGCTGGGCGAGTGAGTGGGATAGGGTGATGGGAGAACAGGAAGGAAAAGAGGAGTGAGTGCAGGAGGTTAGAGAGCCTATCTGGGCTCGCTGACAAACACTGTCGGACTCATATTCCCATCTGGGTCCCAACAGATCGGGATGCAAAACAGCAGGTTGTCTCGGTCCCGGTGCCCACAGATGACTAAATAAACCATAAACACACTAAGGATTATGTATGTGTGACTATAAATCTCTTATAGTCATTAACCACAGAATTAATCATAAGGCTAAACCTATACATTTATCTTGACATGTTTCTGTTTTGTTTGTTTTTTTTAAACATGGGATAGTTGTTTGACTTACCAGATGCTTCCAAGTTTTTTGATGGAATTAAGCCCTTTATATTGGAGTTAAATAGTTCCCTATCTATGACCATAAGTGGAATGATAGTTTTGGAGGTCACACTGTTTGACAAGACATGATAACAAGACCAGCACCCACTGCGTGCACTCTGCAAGCAGCACAGCCGACCTGGCAGACAGCGTTCAGCCCTTACTGCGACCCCGCTTACTGTCCCACATTTTACTGCTGTCAAGTATGACCAGTGCGGTGCCAGGAGGGCAAAACCAGCCAGGTTAGTAAAGCTCCTGTTCATCCTTTACCTTACTGTATTAAACTGATGAACGATGTTTGTCTGGTTGGTGGCCAGCATTAATCCACAGTTGCCTCGGTTAGCTTTATGCTCAGTGAATGTTACTTGTCTTGTGATCAGCTGTGGCAACACTCCACTGTAGTCCGCGGTAGTCGCTTTATGCTCAGTGAATGTTGTTTGTTTTGTCATAAGCCATTAGCTGAGGGCTCGCGACTAGCAGCCTTCAGCTCACTAACATGACTCAAACGTGTATTTGATTGATTCTTTATCTGCCGTACTGTTTGTCATGTTAATAAAAAAAATTTTTATGCCTTTTAAAGGATCTGTCATTTTTATCCCTGCGTTATTGAAAATGGTATCAAGTATTTTCCTGAGTCTCGATATCGAGTTTGAAATTTTAGTATCATGACAACTCTACAAAGGAAGAATAGTTTAATGCATGAGGAATTGACTGGTTTAATATAGCAGTGTGTTAGCCTGAATCATCTGTTGATGACCAAGAACCACATAGATTAACATAGATGGACTGGATGTGGCTAACATCAAGAGAGCCCAGTCCATATGACTTAGACTTCAGTTTCTGGGTCAAAACTGTGCTTTACATCATCTGTGCTTGTTAACATCTGGTCAGTAGAGCACTGTAGAGTTTACAGTGAATAAATTCAGTGTTGATAATGTTTTAACTTGATAGAAATAGCTCTGTAAATGTGGAGCCATGTTTCTCCGCAGCCTGTTAAAGTGTGTATATGTGTGCAGTCTGTGATACTCTGGGACCCCATCAGACAAGCCTGTGCAAGGGTGCAGCTCCTTGCACTAAGTGGTCATTCATCATCGAGAAAGCTCCAGATAACTGTAGCCTTCACCGGCGGGTCAGCAGACGGTCATCTCCTGACCTGGCTGCCAAAACATTTAACCACCATCTCCCACAGTGCTGGACCAGGCTGTGCGAAGGTGGTGGGGTGGTGAACCCAGCTGAGATATAACCTAAGCAAAGGTGACCTCTGACCTTGTTTTTTTTCCCCTGAAACCAAGCAGTCTCTCCTGATAGCTGCCCCCTTCACCCTGCAGACAAACTGTAAGTCAAAGTGCCTCCCAGACAGCTTTGCTTCACTCATTGTCTATCTCCAGCATGGTTCTCGATGCACACAGGAAGTAGTCTTTGCATCTACCTCCTTGATTTATCCCTCCAATCTCTGCCAAACCAACTCGAAATCCCGTGGATGCAAGAGCTGCATATTCACTTCCAACCTCAATGCAAAAACCACCTACAACTTCCACCTCCCCCCCAACACCACCACCCTTCCTACCCCTCAAGTCCCCTGTCTCAATCTGAAGAGGAGGAGCAGCAGGGGGGGTGCGGAGGAGAATAGAGGGAAAGAGATTGATGAAGAACCTTTTTGATACACCGCTGCAGGCAAAGGAAGAAAAAATTGATTGAACCTTGATGAGAATTATATCAAGGGGCGCGTTCATTTGCAGGGATGGACCCGCTGCATGCGTTGGGGAGCGAGGAGTCCTGTACATATGTATGATCTGTGCTTGACTGTGATTCAGAGTTAAAGGGGAGCACTAGGGAACAGCAGATTTTCATGATTTTTTCTTTTAACCTTCGTCTGACATGCCCTCTGATAATACAAATTTAGAGCATGTAGGTCTGAATAAGTTATAAGTACATACTTCAGAAAGATAGTTACGTACAATCTATAGATAGATAGATATACATTTCTTGAAGCTTACACTGTTTGCTGTAATTATTGTAAATACATACTGCATCATGAGGAGGATCAAGAGTTGCCGGTGTCAGTAATGGTAGGGTTGATAGTGTTTTACTCTACTTTGTGCTACACGTTGCAGTCTGACCATTTTTAACTAAAATATTAAAGATTGGTTCTTGCAGCCAACAACATGAAATCAGAGCAAAGATGTTGTCAGGAGGCAGAAAAATCAGTAACTACCATCTGAAGAATGAAGTAAGTTTACAGGGGTGGCCATGGTGGTCTGAGTCAGTTATCTCTTAATCTGTAGGTCGGGGGTTCAGTCCATAGACTGTGTATAGAATGGACAGCGTCTGCCTCCTCGCTGGGTGAAGCCACCCGAGAACAGCACACCCTGGTGACGGCTGCGGTATAGGTCAAAATCCTGCCTCCGCCAACCATCCCTATGGAGCTGTGGACAAACTTTAGAAATTTATTACACAGAATATAAATGTTTCTCCCCCCTGCTTGTGATGTTGACATGTAGTTATTGTAAGACTGCTTTGTGCCCAAATGTCCCTATGTCCCACTGTCCACATGCTGAAGTGTCCTTGCACGACATGACCCAAACTGCCCCTACTGGCAGGGGTTCAGAGATGTCAATGGGATTAGTTGACACTCACTACATTTACACGCACATTTAAGTTGAGCAACACTTAAAGCTTGCTTTGGTGATTTAATTGGACTACTGTTACATGCGGTTTACAAGCACCAAACAAAAACTGAATTACTGACAGAAGGATGTCCGCCTCTACAAAAAGCAAGTGGAGATATTCCCTGTTCAGCTTGTTGTCACTTGATCATCTATCAGTTGACACACAGAAATAAATGCATTATGGGATGTACGGCGAACCTGACTTCCAAGCAATGCATCCTTACTAATATTCTTGAGTGTCTCTTCTCTACCCTCCAAACATGTGGTTGACATTTACTGGTCCGAAATTTGCTTTTTAAAATTAAAAAAAGAAAGAAAAAAAGTCTTGGCTGACAAAAACTTGATATTTACACTTATTCTGAAAAAGACTAAAAATTCCCTCTGTGTTTAGCCCAACCAATGCCCCATGAGTCACATGGGTAAAGAAGTGTCAGCTGGATCTGTTTTTTAAGGGCTGTGTTTAGAACTCATGTCTGGAAAAAAACATGACAACAACACAATTATTAGTGTGTATTGTTGTAATATTTCATCCTCAAACATCACTGAATGTATCAGCTACAGTGTGTCATGCATGGAGTACGACTTGATGGAGGACTATCCATTAAATTCTCTGATTTCACAGCCTTCAAACAAACAAAGAGTAATTAATTTTACACTGGTTTCCCAGCATGTGTTTGATGTGAAGTTTGGCAGGTTGACAGAAAAAAAGACCATTCCATCACACCGCTGGTGCGGTCAGATATGTGTGTGTGTCTGCATGTGTTTGTGAGGTATGTTTGTGTGTGTGTGTGCATTAGAGATAGGCCTGGTTGTACAGGATGCCATCTGGCAGTGGCGCCTCACACCCAGTGCTACTCATCCCTGTGTGTCGGATCAGAACCGCCAGATCATGGATCCAGATCACTGCACACACCAGGCACCACAAAAAAAACGAACACACACACACACACCTCTTATACACAGATGCTTTAAGGAAACATGCTAATTGCAGTCTGTGGTTGTCAATCAAACTTTCTCTTTTAACCCCCCTTCCTCTCATCATTATCTTTTTTTTCTGTCTACATGATGTCTGTTCTCCCCCAACCTGCCCCATGGAGCGTCCCCTGGGAACAGCTGAGATCAATCTGAAGATGCTCAGAGATATTCATTAGACAGAAGAGTCTGAAACTGTGTGACAACATCACTCTCCCAAGAAGAAAACTGCATCTGATATGGCTTCAGCTGCCGTGGACGCAGCCTTATTACAATGAGGAAGAGTCAAAGTAATTCTTTAATGGACAGTGATGAGTTGATGTATAAGGGGTAGCCAAGATCAGTTACAGCGCTTTTCAAAAAGTCACTGATGGGTGAATTCACAATGAATTAGTCGCATTTGCTAAAAGCACCAGAAGAGTAGTTTTCCTACTGCTATCTGCTTTATCTAAAGATGGTGTAATAAGCATCTCCACTCTCTGCTACACAGAACTTTTCTACCTTTATCATCCAAATGAAGCTCAAATCTGCCCAAATACAATTGACGGGCTGGTTTGGTGAGGGGACATCTCGTTTTGTTTCACAGTACTCTGACAAAAAATAAAATGACAAAAAGTTAGCTCTGTTTGGGTGGACAAACAAAGAGACATCACTGTTTTTGTGTTCCTTTTTAACTGATTATTTATCTGCAACAAGTGTGTCTGTGCATATTGTCTCTGCCTCCATGCATCTTTTTCGTAGTTGTTGGATGATTCTTCACCCCCTGCATGCTGAGGTCAGTTTTTTACAGTTTCTCAAAGGAAGCCAATGATTTCTCACATACAGACCCCAGAAGGCGTAAAACCTCATCAAGAATTCAATTTCCAGGATTCATTGACCAAAGCAAAACAAACTTTGCTCTAGATCCAGCTTTAATCTTTCTGGATCAGACTCAGCAGTGTGGTCAGAACCCAAATAAGATTAGAAAAGTGACACACGTTAATGATGGTTACTTGTCATTTTTGGGTTATAGCTACCGAAAGGAGGAAAAAAGTGGAGCGGTGAAAAAAGTCAGAGACTTACTTTAAGGGTTTCTCTCCATTAATTCCCTCTGCAGGCTGTGGTGTGTGCCGTGCAGCTCTGTCAAAACAAATTAACAAACCTTAATTCAGAGGCTGCTCTAGTCAAAACAACAACTCTCTCTGGTGATCAGCTTCCAACTGTCCCTCAACTATCCCTCCAAACACGGGGAAACACACACACACACACGCACACACAGACAAACTCACAGCTGCTTCTCAGAGGAAGTTGTTCCTGTTTGCGTGAACAGGTGTTAGGCAGCCCAAGAATCTAACTGAACTCACACAGCATCTTTGATTGAAGGGATATATTTTTTTAACTGGTTTATCTTCAAGCCCAGGTCCCCACCGAAGAAAAAAAAAAAGGCTTTTTTTTCTTCCCTTTTTGTGTTTCCCAAAAAGAATCAGGTCTATTTTGAAAATACTGGGGGAGAGAAAGCCAATTAACTCCATCAAGTAAATTGTCGAAATGTGTTTTCAAAGAAGTACAGAATGTAAAAATTGTGGTGCCCCAACATCGGTATCAAAACAGCCGCTAAGAGACATCTTTCAGTTTGGGCTTTTCTTGACTGTCGTGTGTGCAAACACGAGCAAACTGAACAGATCTGTATGAGAACTGAATGTTTGCAACAACTTCGTACTCCACACTTTAAATACAGAAACTCAGCTGGTAGAGTTACACCTTTAAATAACACAAGTTAAGTTCTCTTTCTGCCCGGGTATACCACATGCAGGGCTCAACAGTCATGTTAATAATTATAATAATAAATAGGCTTTGTCCTACAAGACTTTTACAAGAGGCTGACAATTATGTCCGAATGTCCACTTGGAGTAGCTTGCCTTGTTGGTAAGATTTATGGGGTTTGAACATGAAAATCTAACACATCATAAAAGATTGTTTAACAGCAGCATTCTGGTGAGTAGTCAGATTATCAGCTATTGTTCAAGGTCATATAATATTCTAAAAAAAAAGTTTTGTCTTCGTGTTTGTATGTTAAATTTTTTTTCCTCGTGTCTCAGAGTATTTTTCATTTTTTAAGTATGTAACAGGGAACGTGAAAATTGTTTTTTTTACCTTGGCAAAAACCTCCCTGATCATAACAAAAGCTCCTTTGAGTAACTCTCTGTTTGTGTCAGTTATGGAGCCCCCTTGTGGACAAAGAGGTCTTTATCTCAACCGCTTGGCTGATACCTACCCCCTCACACTGGTTTCAGGTATTAAAACTTACAATACATAAGTCATCAACATTTTGCTCATGATCTTGTTTGCTTTTGTAGATCACTAATATGAATTTTAGTCTATTTTATCAAAGTCAAAAAAGTTCTCAAAGGAGCTTTAATTTAAGTTTTAAAGATGATTGATTTTTAAAGTCAATGGGAAAATGCAATATTTCTGCTGTTTTACAGCTTTTTTTTACTTCAAACTATGACAAATTTACAAGAATTTACACAGATTTGTAGTTACTCCAGTCTCTGCTGTTTTCCTCCCATCTTTCCTTTAGTGTTAAAGAACATTTAAGATTCAGTTGTAGCCAATATTGATTGCCTCCTATTTGAAAAAAACATCTTTACATTCATATACATTGTAATTACAAAGAGAGATTCCTAACCTGACTCATCTTACGGCTCAAGCCATCTTATACCATGAGCCACATCACTGTCTTCTGAGACTGTCATTTGACAAAAAGGCATACCTTAAAGTACTCAGCGAAAACAGCCTCTCCACAGCCGCCTGCAGCTCCAGGCTCTCCCTCTAACACTCTGTAAACATTACACACATCAAGACATCAAGAAATTATAGTCAAGCACGGCGGCAGCGGTGGGATGCAGAATCAATTTGGGTTTCTTCAAAAGCCCCACTTGAAGCTGGTGGCGGGCGAGATGGAGCGGAGATGCTAATCGGCAAAAGGTCCGGGTGTAATGCCTTCCCTCCCATTCACAGCGCCTGCCTCTGAAGCCGTC